TGTTACGCTGGTCACTTGATTTCACTGAAAACGCTCGCGTTTTGATTGGTGCACAGGGTTTGTGATATTTTCTGGTTTCCACGAGACCTTATCAGTCAAACTTATTCACACTATACCCCCTACCTAGCCTAAATCTGTTATCTTCACAGATGGCTCCATCGACAATTATACACTCCGTTTCGGGGTCAGATGAGGCATATAGCAAACACTAAACTTGTGACCTTGATGCACTACGTGTTGAGGGCAATTCAGGATCAATTATCGATTCGAGCAACCATGTGGTCCTCGCTTCTTTTCAAAATGTTCTGTAAGGGAGAAAACAGTCAACGGGTCACTTGCTTCATACCTGTGGAGCAGTTAGACTTTCTGAAACCTTCTAAAGCGGTGATATTTCACAAACCACATAGCCACAGAGAGATTAATCAATCAAATATCGAACAGTATTACGACTAGTATTTCTGCATTACTCAATTTGAATGTTTTGAGTGTCCACTTAAAATACACGTAAGAAATATTGAATAAAAAGTAAATTTAAGTACCTATCTCCGGAAACGTCAGATTTCCACATATTCTCTTCCCTAAAAGTCACGTGACGCAAAAGTGGAACAATCATACTGTTGTTAGTCGTAACAACATATGAAAACAATGTCCCGCCCACTAGGACATGAGTTTGTCGACACACACTCAGTTCTGTTAGTCTTTTTTGGACGGTCATTCTCAGTATTCATGCCATCTAACGGATAGCGTATTCGTCTGTAGTTCACATTCACGAGTACTTTGCAACACTTACGATAGACTCAGCTGAATCTCCTGTTTTTGATATCTTTCAATAAAATATGTTACAAAAAGAACGCCTAATTTTTACTTGGCACATTATATGAGATATCGAAGTATTTTCATAAAGAAAACTACTCACAAGATTGCTGAAAACCAAATTGATTTGAAAATGAGTGCATTTCTTGAGATATCGCAGTACATTTTTTTAATGAGAGTTTCAGTTGGGTCACCTGTTAACAGCAGAATAATTTGCAGACGAGTTTATGTGAAAATTAAGTTTTGTACGTATGTCGGTATAAGCAGACGAAATAGAAATCCAGAATTCAGATCAGCGCAACAAGCAGCACGTGTGTATTCGAAATGGCGTATATGTACAGTATATGGAATATTAAAACAAGAGAATAATGAATGGAGCAATGAATAGAGGATCAGTCATGTTCATCACAGCTTATTTCCTTGTTTGTACCACACACCCCTTCCTGTGGTGTCACCTTCAGTCCCAGTGCGTAAGACTAGGGGCAGTGAGGATCAGGCGGAAGCATCTCTACTGGCTGAGGTTAACCCTGACCACAGAGGTCACGTGGTCACGAACAAGCTACGCAAAAGGGAGGAAGAGACCAACCCTTACAATGATCGTATTTTTGATCATATGCGCTCGTAATGCACGTTCCAGAGGTCCAGTTCAAGTATAACCCGACGCCAAGAGCACACCATGGTTGAAGTGTAGAATGATTAAGCAATCTGTCGCAATTTCTAGGCGGCTGATTCAATTGCGTTGGTTTTGAACTGCTACTGAGCAATGACGATAGTAAGGTTGCGACACAACAGCAACTCGTTCAGCGCAATCTCCCACCAGGATGCCGCAGTACTGTTGGGACAGGAGATGACACTTGCTTTCACTGACAAAGCTTGTTATCCTCAACACGATGGGGAAAAATATGTTCCTAGCTAGAAACCGATTTTTTCAGTTGACCAACATCTTTCCAACTTTGAGAGCCGTGGCGAATATATTATGTATCGCAGTCATCTTCCTAGGTCAACTGACAGGCGCTAGACGTCTGCCCCTAAGGTTTCACTATTCTGAGATCAGCAGTGCGGAGCTGTGCTTTGGAAAGCAGCTTGTCAAAAAACTCCAATAAGGAGCAAGAAAAAATGTTTGCGATTCTCGGTTTTCGGTTCCTATCCCCATCAGTAGGCTTACTGCGTGGAAAATTCAAATGCAACACTATTTTGAAGCTCTTCAAGAGTGTCCAAATATGAGTTCTAGCAAAGTGTAGTTAGATCCGATACCAAATCAAAATCCAACAAGCAAAAGAAGACTTTCAAAGGGGTTCGGTAAACAATCGGTGGATTTATTGCTGGGCAACGTTTCGCTTTTGACACAAAAGCTTCGTCAGGCCAAGTGAGTAAGCAAGTAGGTTGATTGGGTTTTAAGGCAGTCAGGGAACCAATCCGTGAGATACCTCCTTATGACTAGAACGTGATCAGTGCTGGGTGTTCAGTCTGAT